CCCACCCAGGACGGTCACCCGGGACCTGCTCTGCACAGCACGGAGCCAGGCACAGAGCGCAGCCACCACCGCACGGTACCGCAGAGCCTGGGTCTCCAGGCCAGGCTGCAGACAGTGCTGGGTCCAGCGGTGGCCACAGCAGCCCCTTAGACCCCCCCAGATGTGGCTCACCCCCCCCAGCAGTGTTGCCTCAACACAGAGCCCGAACAGGAGAGTCTCTCAGAGCAGAAAGAGCTGCGCTGAACGAGGAGATGCTGAAGCACACACTCCCCTTCAGCCCGTCCAACTCGTCAAATGTGGCATCACCACCACCTCCAAGGAAGACCTTCCGGCTGGGGCCGTTCAGCGGAGCTGGGGGGGCTGTAGGCGTGAGCAGCCCACGAGCCAAGGTCAGACCAAGAGGTGGCACAGGCGTCACCTGCTGCTGAGCCTCCTGGTACCACGGGGTCCTGCAGAGGAGTCCCCACGTCCCCCCCCGCGGGACGGCTGCTGGACAGACCTGCTCGTGCGTCACCGGGATGAGGCGCTGCTTGGAGAGCTCCCGCAGCGTGTTCAGGTCCGTGCGCATGTCCAGCTTGCAGCCCACCAGCACGATCTTTGCGTTGGGGCAGAACTCCTGCGTCTCCCCCTGCCACTGCGGAGACAAGAGGGAGAAGGTGCTCGGGGGCTGCTGGTGTACGAGACCCCCAAAGCCCAGCGGCACCTCCACGCCAAGTTTGTTTCGGCAGCAGGAAGCCTGTGAAAGGGCCAGGGTTGGAACAACAAAGGGAATTGCAGGGCTCGTCGCTCCCAGCCCCCTTCCAAGCAGGCCAAGAGCCCCCAGCCTTGGGGGGAAGGACAGGCCAGGACACAGGTCATCAGTTCCCATCCAGCCGAACGCCTCCATGGATAAATACTGACCACACTGCCTGGTGCACGGATCTGGACTCCAAAAGCCAACCTCGCTGGACCTTTTGAGCCTCAGCCAGCGGGGAACCCTTAGCTCAGCACACTCGTTGCTTGTTTATTATTGAGAGCCGCGTGTTAAAGACATGAAGACATTTGGAGTGAAGCTACAGCCAGGGAAATAAGGAATTGAAGCAATGGAAGGAGAATGCCAGGGCAAACACTCACTGCCTTTGCGCTAAGGGTCCCTCCCAGAACTCCAAAAATGCATGTCCAATAAAACCATCAGCTGAGACCCCCCAGGGAAGGCCTGTACGGGCCCATCAGCGTGCCAGCACCCTGGTACTTACCTAGTGTTGCTGAAGCAGGAGGCAGATGACAAATGGAGATTATCCCCACTAAAGATGACACTTGGAATTAGCCATTTCCTGCTGCGCTAACTGGTGGTTAAGCATAAAGCCCAGGCAATCAGAAGGGGAGAGAACACCAAGCCCACAACCCCCTGGCCATAAATTCTTGGAAAGGAATTACCAAGAATGACCCACGTTTCATCCAACCAGCATCAGACTGACCGCAAAATACGGAAAAAATGTTGTTTTCCACCAGGCGTTCAGCTCAGTGTCCACCATGAACCCCTGACAGGGACACTTGTCCACCAGGACTCGCAGACATCCCAGGACTCACACACATCCCCAGCACACGGCAGCGTTCCGGGCTGCACAGCTTCTGGGAGATTCCCGGTGTCAGAGCCGTACAGCGCCGAGGGATAACACGTCCGCAAGAGCAGGACAACGCTGCTCTGTTGGAGCTGGTGTTCAAGCACCCTAACGTACCCGAAGGATGAAAATCCCCCAGGGAACTGCGCCACAGGCTCTGTTCTTGCCAGGAAGAGGTCATGGCTGTCTGTAACGACGTGGGTGTTCCCGGCCTGTGGAGAAAGGCGCGACCCTCCTCCCACGTGACGGACACCTTAGGGAGCCCGAGATGTGCTGTGCTGTCAGGGCTTGCCGGAACGAAGGCGTCACCCCACGGAAGCCTGCTCTGTATGCAATGAAGAGCTGTTTGTGTTCTCAGACAGCTCCTTCCCTCCCGCTGTACACACCACAGAGCCGCCCAGGCATCAGAGGGGCAGCAATAATAAAGATTTCCCCTGCTGAATTAGCATTTTCGCCTGAGGCTTGAATCGGGAGTGTTATTTTCCTTATTCACCTGGTATCAAAAGCTAAAACCCATTTCCACTTCATGGTGTCTTAGGAATTTTCCTCACCTCCACAAGCTGCCAGCCTGCACCAAAGGAAACCAGGCATCTACTCGGAGGCACTGAAGAAATCCCCTGTGATTTAGGGTTTATTTTAAGTCACCGTATCAAAAAGACATTGCCTAACAGCACTCAAAGCATCCGTGAGGCTGCACAGGGAAGACCCTTCCCTGAGAGCGCAGGCTCACACGAAGAGTGTGCAGAGAGACATAAATAAATCCCAGCCCCAGCTAATTATTGATGGGTTTGCATCTCATTAAGGTGTAAGTGATTTGCTTGCATTATTATTCTGCTGACTCCCCAGCTGAGTAGTGAATTCTTTCATCCACATGAAACGCCTCCCTCCACCCAGCACGCTCGGTACCCGGGACCAGCCTTCCAAGCCAACACTGAGCCATTGACCACGCTCTCTGAAGGGTCTTTGTCCCCTCTCCAAGACCCTTCTGAGGCACAGACCCACTTCTCAGCCCTCCCAGCAGCTGAGTAAGAGGCACTTGCTTCACCACAACATTTGGCAAAATGTGGAGAGGCCAAGAGGGCGGCCGGTACAACGTGACTTGTTCAGGCTTGGCCAGTCCAGCCCGGCAGCCTGGGGACAAGAGCTACAGCCATCGCTGTTGTGCCCCGCCTGTCGCACCCCGGTGTCCCCATGCCAGCCAGGACAGCCTCCAGCACAGGCTGCAGCCCACACCGACCTCCCTGCAGCTCTGCCGCACGGCCTGAGTGCTCACCGAGACCACAGCTCCCTGGATTCCATGGGAGGAGGCAAGGTACCAAAGGATGAGAGTGGCCAGGAGGCCGTTTGCCCTCTCCCCTGAGCAGCACCCTGAGCTGCTGGACTTCGTGCTGGCCATGCACGGGAACCTCTCCCCGGGTGCCACCTACTCCCCCAGAGCGTGGCAGGGCAGCCAGCGATGCTCCAGACCCCCAGCCCCGTGGGGGTCTCTGGAGCCGGACCTGCCAGTGGGCGATACCTGCTTTGTGGAAGGTGCTAACGCAGAGCACGGCCAGCGAGTTCTGCCGGGGCCAGCAGCGTTCAGGGCCCTTGCTACCCAGTCCCGTGGCACTGTGCCAGCTCATCTTATTCATTCACAGGCTTGAAATTCAGTGCCACAGCTCATTGTTCTTGTTGCCAGGCTTTAGGGAACTGATTGCCGTCTTTCTTACTGTGCAGATGCCGAGCTGAGGGGACAGCCACAGATCTGAGCCCTCGGCTTGCAGGGGAACGGGCACCCGGAGCCACTTCCCGACTGCTGCAAGCAGGTCACGGGGGTTACGCTACGAGCGATGCACAACACAACAAGGTCTTCACGAGAAACAGAACAAACGCCCCACGTTTCTCTGTCCCCACATCGTGTGTCTGCACGTACACGCGCTGCAAGCTTCCGCGAGCTGCACCATTCACTGGGCTCCTGTCAGATGGAGGTACCTTGCTTTCTGCGCAGACTGCGCGGGGATGCAGCAGCCAACCGTCCTGGGGGGGCTGTCCTCATCGGAGCATCCTCATCGGAGCACCCTCATCCGAGCACACGAACTCCAGCCAAGGCTGGAGCTTTCAGCCCTGCTGAGAGCCCCAGGGCGCGGGGACCCCAGAGGGCGCAGCACCACCTCACAGCCAGACGCCCGGCACTCACCTTCTTGAGGACACTGTCCAGGGTCTCCGGGCGGCTGATGTCAAAGCAGATGAGCACAGCGTCTGAGTCCGGGTAGGCCAAGGGACGGACGTTATCATAGTACGCTGAACCTGCAGAGGAGCGGGAGGAGAGGGGTGAGCAAAGCCTCAGCCCGCCAACTGCTCGGTACCGAACGGGGAGGTGTGGCCCCAACCCTCACTGCCAGGCAGAGATCCCTCACTCCAGTGAGAGCTGGAGCCATGCCCCCATGGTGCAGGGGATAGGGGATGATGCCCCAGGCTTTGCACCAGCAACCAGACACCGTTAGGGTCAGCAGAGCTTGGTTTGCAGAGGATTTGGTCCCTTTGTTTAGGCAGCGAAGTCAGAAGTTTTGGCCCTGTGCTCTTACGTTTACCCCTCTGCAGAGTGGCCATAGATGCAAGCTTTGCATCCCTCCCCAGCAAGCGCCTGGCAGGTAGGAGGCCGTGGAGCTGTGCTGCCGGGGCATGCCGGCTCACTGCGGACACGGCAGCCGGGAAGGGCTGTGGAGCAGCACACGCATCCCACTGCTTGTCCGGCAGCCGCTGCATCACTAACGGGGCAGGAGCTGCGAACGCCCAAACCTGCCGCTATTTTCCATCCTCTCTCACTATCTTTGTACCGGAGAGCTTGCTCACACAGAGTGTGAGAATTTATGACAGGCAAGAGAAGAATTGCCTTTTGCTCTGGATTTGTACTGGAGAAATTCAGACAAATTCTTTCTGGTACATAAAAGATGTGATGGGATTTGGTGAACAAGCTGTAAATTGGAGGGGATGATGCTGTATCCTGCTGGATTTCTCCATGAGCAGGCAGAGAGCCTGGCCTGAATCCTGCACAGCTCCTGCCACAGGCACTTTCGGTGCAAATCTCAGCATTAAAGGCATTGTCCCATGACGGTTTTAGTGGAAGCGCGACTGCCGATGCCTCAGTTAACAGTAACGGCGCAATCAGCTCATCGCTCCTTAGGAACGCTGTTTCGGTTTTATTTTTGGCTTTACAATGGCTTAAACTTCCTGCAGGGATGAGAAGCAGATGTTTATTTATGAAAAGGGGAAGCAGAGACACCAGAGTCCTTGTTGGATCTGCCTCCTCCCGAAGAAGGATCCCCCACCCCAGGCCGAGGAAACCGGACGCGCTTCCTGCTGTGGCCCCTCGGGATGCCGGACCCGGCACTTTCCCACCCCGGAGGGGTGAGCAGCACCCACCCGGGTGTCAGGTGGCTCCTTGATGAAGTTCAGCACCTGATGAATTATGGATGATGGGGGCTTATGTTTCCGGGAGGATGGGAATCCGCCTGGGATAAGTGCGAGAGAGAAGAATAGGCTGATTCTCCACAGGAGCCCCAACCCTGGCTCTGTCTGCCGGGGGCTCAACTGATGTGCAGCAGAGGGTGCACAGCCCCTCCAGCACTCCAACCCCCTCCCTAAGGCCCAGCCAGGAGAGCAGAGCCGGCCGTGAGCACGTTCCTCTGTCCACAGCCCACACGGACCGGCTGAGGGCTCGGGCCATCGTCTTCCCAAACCCTGCCCAGCCCTAGAGACCGGCCACCATCTCCTCTGGGCACCAGCCCACAGCAGGATGCCAGCCCAGCAGGGAGCTCAGGGCACGCTCCCACCAGCGCAGCCCCCACCGCTCTTGCACCCGTGGAGCCTGGGGCAGGCACACGGATTCAGTGCCCATTTGGATCCGGGGCATCTCCAGGCCCACCTGCCAGCCCTGCTCCGTCAGCGAGGGGAGCCGCAGCCCGGGTCTGTGTCCCTGCAAAGTCACTGGGGGAAGCAGCTGGGATCCAGCACAGAAGAAACAGACCCTGATCCCTGCGGACCCCAGCCCTCCTCCCAGAGGGAAAGTCATGTTTCCTGCATGGAAAGGAGCCAGTCCCTGTGGAGCCTGGGCCAGCCTGGGACTGCAGGCTGGTGCATGGGAAGGCACAATGAGCCGTTCCTGACCTCGCTCCAGGCTGAAGCGGCCTCAGTTCAGGGCTGGCGAGCTGGGAACCCTCGCTCCCGCAGCACAGGAAGGTGACCCAGTCCCGCTGAGGAAGGGGCCGCTTCCGAAGGCGGCGCCAAGCCCAGCAGGGCTGAGCTCCCCTTTGCCCTGAGTCTTCAGTCTCGTGCCTGGTGCAGGATTACCGGATGGGACGGGAGATCCAGCACTGATGTGCGTGCTTGGATTTGCTGGGTCCCTCACGGAGCCTTGTCCTCTCCCCCTGCGCAGGGTATCCGCCTCCAGACGGGCCCCCAGCACACGCCGCGTTCCCACGCATCCTCTCCCTGCGGCTCCTCCGCTTTACACAAACGCCGCAGCTAAACCTGCCCTCTCCCAGCCCAGGAATGCTCCTTCTGTAGGAGTGGGTTTGGCTCCGTTCAGCACAGGCATCGCCACAGCAAACTGTCTCATAGCAACCTGCTGCTGCCCTCCGCAGCCAGCCAGCTCCGCGCCGCGAGCCCGCACCGGTGCAGTGCGGCACGCTTACCCCGCAGAACCTCCCAGAACCTCCACCCTCCCCACCCTGGGGCCAGGATCGTGCTCCCACCCCACAGAAGGACCCCTGTGCTGCCAGGAGGAGCTAAGAGAAGGGACACACGAGGTCAAGAACCTCATTTTCTTAATGCAATTAAAGTTACCCCCGTATTCATTACCCTCCTGCTCAGACTCCAGTGCGGGAGCAGCCGCCGGCACCTTCACTGGTAGCTCACCCCCCGCCGCAGAAGCCTCTGCCCACCCCAGGGACTGATGGAGACGATGGTCAGTGCTGCCCAGGGCAGGAACGCTGCCGAGCTCCAAGCCCAGGTGATCTCCAGCTTGCTCTGGAGATGTCTCTACTGAACCAGGAAATTCTGTTTGGGGATTATTCGTCCAGTTTTTGCATCTATTACTTTTTCATTGAGTAGAACTGTTAAAAAAACCCCAAACCACAAAAGTCTCATTTCCCTCAACTCCAAGACTTCAGCTGTATGGAAGCTCTTGACACTTCTCAGATATTCCAGCGAGACACCCCAGAGACCCACAGTCCGACACTTCCACACGCACCCACGGCCTGTGTGTCTGCAGACCCAGCCTCCCCTTACCGCGGGAGTCGTTCCCCCTCCTGGCACCCAGGTTTGCGAGAAGCAGGACCCATGCACATCGGTTGGAGATCAAAGAGAACACTGGAGCCAGCCAAAAACCAGCTTAAGAAGAAAATCCAGGCGGTGGTCATCTGAAGTCCAGGAGCGGATACAGCCATGAGCAGCTCGCTCTTATGAGCTGGCAGCCCCTCGACACGCCTGGCACCGGGACGCAGAGGTGCTGCTCTCGGGCAAGGGGCTGAAATGTGCCGTTTCCTCTACACCAACACAGCGTTCGTCTTCATTTGTTCCTTCTTAGCTGCTCTGAGAGATAATAAGCCTCCTCACACGGGCATCCCCCTCCATCACAAACCGGGGAAGCAAACGCGCGTGCAGCGCCGTGACCTGCTCTGCAAGGGCTCCCGCAGCCCAGCTGGCTCTGGCCTGGCACAGACGGGCACTGCCAGGACCTACCCCACACAGTCTCCCGGGGGTTTGGCTCCACGCTGCTTGCAGGATCCCCGAGACCCCTCCCGCGAGGTGCCCGGCTGGAGCCACAGCACGGGGCTCTGGAGAGCATCGCTCGCTACCGCCTGGCAAGCGGCAGGCACAGCTCCCTGCCCTGGGCACTCCAGCTGCCCCTGCGCAGGCAGAAGGCCATGCGCGAGGAGCTCTGTGCCTGGATGTGCAAATGCCCTCCTCGACCCCTGTATCCTTACAGCTGATGGGCTTTAAGCCCGGGAGATTCGCCACCTCCCGGACTGCAAGAGCTGCACGTCAGGGGACAACAGGGTCAGAGACCAACTTCCTCCTGCCGGTGTGAAATCAGACCCTCTCTCCTCCCAAACACAAGAGGATGCTTTTGCGCGAAGACTGATGAGCTGCAGCAATATTCCCGAGCACCCCGCGGGTCCCTGCTCGGCCGGGGCGCGGGGGCGGGTTCAGGATGCTGACCCTGCCTGGCTGGTTATTGTCTGGAAGGGGTGGATAATGCAGATCCCACCGATACAAAAAGCACATTGACACTAAATCAGTGAGTCCAGCTCAGAGGACTGACAAGTGGCAGAGACGGGAATTAAAGCGCTGGTGACGGACTCAGACACCGTAACAACAGGCTCTGGCACTCCCACGGTCCGAAGCCCAGACCCACCAACTCCGGGGTCACAATTACGGAAGAAGCAGCACTTAGTGACATTAAAGTGAGCGGCACTGAGAGCGAAGCAGACCTGGGAAACAGCCAAACAGAGCAGGTTCCACCCCGCAGCGAAGACCTGGCTGTCCGCGTGCGAGATGCCAGGCTGACGGACACGCACTGCTCCCCTGCCAGTGCCAGGGTGCCGGTGCCGCTCGGCACCCCCTGGCTCTGCCCCAGCGAGGGGCCGTCTCCGTCACAGCCCGAAGGCAGAGCTTCTACCAGCGCATCCCTGCGTCTTCCCACAGCCCCCTGATGTGGCTCTGCCACAGAGGAGATCCCGCTGGCCTTCCAGGGAAGGCCCCAGTGAAGGCCACAACCCGCTCTTCAGAAGCTGGGGTATGACAGAGCCTGGGGGGGCCCAACTCGAGGGGGCAGCAAGGTCAGAGCCGTCTGGCAACAGCACAAAGCGCCGCCTGCCAAAGCGGGCAAAGCACGGGTGGACGGGCATCCCAGCAGAGCCGCAGGAGACAGCGAGCAGCAGAGGGGACTGCCAGCACTGCTGCCACTGCCCCTGGTCCAGCCCTCCGAGGGACGCGGAACGGCACAGCCACCGGCCCCGGGACTTCCACGAGCTTCTCTTGTGGCTGGGCCGTGCCATTTCTCTTGCTTGTGCAACATCACCACAAACCCCCGAAGCGTAGGGAAGGAGGAAACTGGTCCCTGACATGGAGCAATCGTTGGGAAGCGCATGACAGAAACAACAGCTAATCAGGTTGGACAATTAACCGCTGCTCCCAATTCTTACGATGCACGTACAAAAATGAGTACATTACTGGAGAGCGCAGCTGGCACACCTGGGGAGGGACACGATCAGCACGAAGGGAATGGCAGTTGCACGGGCTGAGGTGGCGTTTCTGGGCCCCTCTCCAGCTCCTATTACTGAAAACCTGTC